CGAGATGACTCCCCCCGCCGCTGCTCGCCATAAGTATGTCGAGGAAAGACGATCAGAGTCTGAATTGCCGCCTGAGAGCTGCTCAGACTTCTTCATATCTTCCAACCAAGCCTTACGTGCCTCATTGCTGGCGGGCGGCATTGAGAACACGTGACCACGAATAATCTCATATATTGGCATCCGGGCCCCAGTATATACTGAAAAGCAAAGCATTTCTAATGGAACACTTCCAAGATGCTTGCAGAGTAATATATGCAAAGCATCAACAAGTCCCAGCTGTAATTAGAGAGGCCTGCGAATTCGAAAGTTACAAATGACGACGTCGACCGCTATTCCATGAGGTGGGCTCGATAGCAATGACTTTGGTCTGAAGCAGAAATTTGGCGTATTTTCCCCAGTTTCTTCCTCCCCCATACTCCGATGGCAAGACAATATCAAAACGACCAGAGATGAGCTTGAGCATAATGGCTGACGGCGCTAAACAGCCGGTCAACGCGTGCCACAAACGGACCGGTCTCCAACTTCAAACATATATGGGCTTCGTTAAGGGATGCATCGAACTGCCATTAGATGAGAATGTCATAAAGGTCACAGCACAAAAAGCCACTAGAACCTGGACATTAGTCTTAAGAAATGTCAAGTCACAATTTAAATTGCCAACCTTCCATACCACGACTAACAGAACGTTGTGATGCATCCAAGCGTGTCGGATTGATAGTGACGTGCTCATTTACTATGAGGATGGATCCTCCGGTGTTGGTCGAACCCTTTCATCCCATCTTCCACATACTAGTCGACTGAAAAAACCGGTCTACCAACAGGAAATGGGCATTAGCCGAGTATATGACGTGACGTGAAAACACAAATTTAGGGCGTACTACGCAGATGAGTAACGAGGGAAAGGTGATGATGTCCTCCCTCAAATATAGAAAGTATAGTTAACCTCTCAAACAAGCCAGTATATGCTCGATGAGCTAAGACTTAATCGAAATTTGCAAGTAGCATTTACAGGAACATAATACTTAACTAAGTTGGACCTTCGAACGCCTCAATTGAGGGTACCGAGCGAAACTCCATATTAAGAGTCAGTTTGGCTTATACTATCATTCTCCACAGTAATAGAGGACAGTTAGTAGTGAGTAAATATAGGACTCAAGCAGGGCACCGCATATATGATGATTGTTAGCTCGATGGCGGACAAACGAGCACACCTAGAAGACGGTTCAATCCGGCTCTGCTAAGTCGCACACCTCATGATTCTTATCTAAACCGTTTAAGTAATCGTCAGGCTACCGGTTGCATCTGGAGTTCACTCAGAAAGCATCCTTCAATTTTTTTAAAGGTGACCTATTTACCAAAAATCAGTCGAGATTATGATTGTCAGACATAAGCTTGCGCCAATTTCCGCATTGTTGATGTGGTCACTCATACTGAAGAGCACACTTAATTGCGCATTTAACTGTCTACTCGTCGTTGCAACGACCTTTGAAAAAAAAATTTCAGTTGATGTATACAGCTTAGTGAAGTGAAGTCAAATAACTACCATATTCTATTATGTCAATACAAACAACCTTCCTTAAAATAACCCAAACAGTTCTACCTCCGATAACATTGCTTAAAATGACCAGGGGAAGAACTGATGCGTGAGCGAAGGCGTCTGTTCGAAGGATAGAACAGGCAATAAACCTAAACTGTGTGGGCCAAACGTCGGTTGAGCCTCTTTGAAAATGTGTTTAAACATAGGAAACGCTAGTTTAACAGGCGATAGAAGTTGAGTGTGAGATAAACATACAAGCGGATAGTGTCTTCCATTTCGTCAAAGGTAAAAATATATACCACGGGACAGCACTGTTCCAAGCAATGTTAACATCACACACAATGACCAGTGAGATGAAGGTAACTCTCAGACATATAACGCTGGATCACAAGCGAAAAGAATTTAAAATTTCGTAATGTGCCAGCTTCTGCGGTTGACATTTCGGTTATTACTGCTGCTGGTTTCGTCCGTTCCAGTTCATAGTATAAGTCCTGAATAATCCTACAGATTTATGGGAATATAACATAGGTCCGTTCTTAGTTCAAGCCAATCTATGATTAGGATCCTCAACCGTAAAGTGATAACAATAGGAAACAGTACTGATTGACGGACAACGTTCGCCGGTGTACTACGGTCTTCACTAGTGAAACCTTGGTAGGCAAGGTCACCAATTATGGCTGAATTTGTTGTCGCCCCATGAGCCTTGACCTTGTACTTTATCTGGCTCAAAAGTCTGTTTATTCCATATCTAGCCCGTCACTGAAGGCCGCTTCACTGTCCGCTACCTGCAATCGCGTTCGGTAGGCGGACTATATTCCCTGTGGTTCCGGTTTGTTTTATAACATAGCATTAGGTGTGAATTAGGCCCTCGCGTATTGCAATAGTAAATTGTGGCAATTGCGAGACAAGCGAGCAATTGAGCGATATACATGAATTTACCCGTGGAAGGTTTCGGAACCTTAACTCCAAAGATTTATAAGCCATAGTACAAAATTCAAAGCTCTGGATGAAGGTTGATGAACGAGGAAAAGTAAATAAAATTAGTTCTCTCGATCAGATTTACCAGTTTTTCAAGAATATATTGTATTTACTAAGAAGTTAAGCAAAATAATCCTGGCGAACAAAGTGGATGAGGTATTGTGTGATGGTTAAAACGCCCAGGAACATCGGTTCAGCTATGTGAATTAGGTTTTCATCCAACGCACAATGAGGTAGTAGAGGCTCTTGTACTTTTTCATGTTGAAATACAAAAACCGAAAACAGTCGCCCAAACTATTTTGCTGCGAGTAAGTACTGCAAATAAAAACATGAAGTCTTTCGTCCAATTTTTGGTTTAACAACCTGCAACAAACTAAAAAACAATACTTACAGAAATGCCTGTACAGGGCCGGAGAAAGTCCCTGCCAGAAGCTCAAAAGCCCTTCATTTTTGACAATCGAGACGGTGAGCTTGAGGAGACTGGGTCTGGTCCTTGTAGGTGCCAACTGTCCCACGACTTGCAAGCGCGTCTTAATTATGTCTAGGGGATAGGTGACTGGCAGGAGAACACGACGAAGGTGAAGCAAAATGGAAGGACTTACGAGTCTCACCAACAAAAGCTGACACGCAGCAAACTGAGAAATGCACGGATTGCGGGTGCTGCTGATGAAGGTGAAAAATCAAGTTGTGCATATAGGTCTTGTCCATTGTGCTGCACCTTGTGTGACACCTTAGTTCATGGCAGGTAGGCTAATTGGACGATCAACTGAATGGGCAGGATGTCGTTTTTCCTCCTATCTGAAAATTAAAAATGGCTGCTTCAAGATTTCAGATCGACAGCATTATTCTTTGGTTAGAATGTCGCGTAATTTATTTTATATGCGAGTGGACTCAGATAATAATAAAAATAAAAAACGTGATGCAGACATTTCAAAAACTTGAAAAATAACACAACGTAGGGTCAGAAAACAGGCTTAATCTGAACTTCTTTTTCTTGATTTCTGTATGCTCGCTCTTCCTATCGTTCTTTGCGCGTAATTCATTGTTCACTTTCGCTTTTGAAACTACAACCGGGCGTTGGTGTTCTTAGCTATACTGTTTATCTAATCGCCTCGAAGGTATGCCAACTTTCCACTTTTATACCTGGCCTTATTAGCTTAATCGGGCTCTGCTATAGAACCACATAGATAGAGTTTTCTTCCTCTCAATAGAACTACAATATCTGCAATACGATCCATGCTACGGTGTCCGCGGGAACCGACGCGCTCCGCAACCATTGCCCCATGGTGCGAGCTGGAATACTCAATCGAAATTGGATGCACCCAGCAGAGCCACAATGATTGGATCAGCGGACGGACCCTGCAGTTGTCTGCGGAGACAGCCCGAACTAGGGACCGTAATGATGATCCTTTCCGCTACTAAGAAATTTGACAGCAAAATCGGCCAGAGAGGACCGGAAGAAATACTGAGATGAAATGGCAACTTCCATGGAGCAGGCCTCGAACGTTGTTGATAATCGAAAGCTCTACTAACTTATTCGCAAGGTCAGTGGTAAGCTGTCTTCACTGAGTGACTCAGTTCGTGATGTTAATGGCGGCTTTATTGCTGACAACGCGCCCAAG